TCTAATCAGTGTCTATAAGTACCTCAAGGGAGGGAGTGAGGAGGATGGTGCTGGCCTCTTTTCACTGGTGGCCACCGACAGAACTAGAGGTAATGGCCACAAACTGAAACACCAAAAGTTCCACAGGAACTTAGGGAAAAATTTCTTAACAGTGAGGGTGACAGAGCACTGGAACAGGCTGCCCAGAGAGGTTGTGGAGTCTCCTTCTCTGGAGATCTTCAAAACTCGCTTGGATGCCGTCCTGTGCCACGTGCTCTAGGTGACCCTGCGTGTGCAGGAGCGTTGGACTAGATGATCTCTAGAGGTCCCTTCCAACCTTAGCCATTCTATGATTCTATGTCTATCAGTGGTGATCTTAACACTGTTTCCACAGGTAAGCCAGGAGGGAACTTGTTGCTCCAGGCCTGTCAGCTTTTGCTTAGTAGCCTATCTGTGCAGCTCTATCGACTGCGTAAAGGCCAGCCCCTGAGTAGGGATTTGTCTCAGTCAGGACAGGGTATCCAACAAGCACCAAAGGTAATGAAGGGAAACTCGCCGATTAGAGACAGTTCTAGGAGGGGCTTGTATTCCTGGTTCTGCTCCTAGTTGTGCAATTCAACATCTGACCCTGGGCAAATTGCTTCTTTGCTCTGTTAATCAACTGCACTATCTGTAAAATGGGATTAATGCTACTTTTTACGTCAGACTGGGGGTTCTGCTTCCTGATTTCACTCAGTGTCGGGGCAATACTTTGAGATCCTGGCATGGAAAAAGCAAAGTATGAAGTCAGCAGTAGCAATTTTCTGCTGTGATGAACAGCAAGAATGCATTGTTAAAAACATATAATCAAGCAGCTCTGCAAACTGTGTTCTTGTAGGAAGACAAAAGCCTTAAAAGAAACACACCACCCATGAGGCTTCAGCTGGGTGGATATTCCCATGCTCACATCTTTGAGGGACCCGTCATTCACAAGAAGTCCATTGGGGAGAGGGTTCAGTGAAAGCAGTAGCTACAGGTGGAGGACTTCCACAGTTCACCTCTCTGCCAAAGCATAGCTTCCAGCAGAAGGTGTAGCTGAGAGGGGCTCTAGGGTGGTGGCATGAGTTTCCTGTGCTCTTTGAAAGCCAGAGGGATGATGTGGCCTATCAACTCCAATTTGCTTCACTGCAAGTGCTATTGCCTCTTGTTGTGTGGGTGTTATTTGTTTAGTTCTTCAAATTGCATCTGTCTGAATCCTAGTCCCAGAGGATGTTGATGTATATTAGGTGTATTGCTAGCAAAATGCTCTGCATAGGAAACCTATTGTAGTTCATCTGCTTTGAGGATGGACAACTTGATCAGGTTTGTAACTGCTGCTTGCTTGGTATGAAAAGTGGCTCATCCTTTCTCCTGCATGTTGCTTATTGTTTTTTTTCCCCCCTTAGAACGAGTTTTACCCACACTCCCCAATCCTTTTCCAGGTCAGTATATGTTTTATGTTAACGTAGCTCTCTAGCCGGGTCATTCTCCATCATCCTGATAAATACTAAGAGCTAGGGATGGGCAAAATAGTTCAGTAACATGGGAAAATAAGAGCTGTCCTCTTTCTTCTGCATGTCATTTGCTCCTTTCTCACCTTCCTTGTCCTTCCTCTTCCCCCTCCCTTTCCACAAAACCAATCAGCTGAACAGAAACAACCTTTAGCCAAGCTTTGAGCCTCTGATATTGTGTTCTCATCCAGGTCTGGATAGTCTTCAGCAAGGTTCAATTTGTCATCAGACGCACTACTAATATATATTCCAGTCCCAAGTTATCTTTACTTACATATTCTGACTTGGATGAAAAGCATAAGCAGACCTAAATCTTGCAGTGGAGGAGTGGTGGAGGGAACAAGTGAGCAGCTAAAAATTAAATTGCTAGCAAGAAGTTTTCATTCCAGTTGTGCAAACCATTCACAGTGAAACACCTTGTTCTGTCATTCCTCTATCAAACGCACCCAGATACATCTGTCACACAGTACTGCATTTGAGGGACACAGCCTGAAAAGAAGCACAAGGTCAAAGCACATAAGATGGTGAGACGCTACTGTGACTGGTTTATTCCAAAGAGAGAAGCTATGAAGGAAATGGGAGTATTGGGTGTTTTCCAGATCTCTGCCACATGCTATTCAAATATGTCTCAGGTCCAGGCAGCATGGCCAGCACTTGCATGAGATTTGGAGTTTGGATGCAACCTTGAGACTCTGCAAGAGTCCAGAGACTCTGCAGTTCCAGAAATGAGTCTCTTTCCAGGTATTTGAAACTAAACCAACAGTAAGGCAACCAGTTCCCTTAGTCACTTAAAAAAATGGTTTCCTTTGAACTCCTTCACATCTTTGTTTTACCACCATGCGATGAAGATATCAGTACTGAAGTCACCGGGATGTTCTGAGTTCCAAATAGTTAATGTCTGCACAGAGCTTTGACATGGAGTGTCCTTATGAACCCAGATTGCTTTGGGAAAGGGCACTTGCCCAAGTACAGCGCCTGCATGTACTCCCATGAAAAGAACAATAAATGCTGGGTGTTACATCAGCTCCATTTAACTACTCCCCTCTTTTTTCAAATGAAGCTCTGCTCTTGGCAACTTACGCTCAGGAATTGCCTATTTAAAAGGCAAATCTGCAAACACAATTAAAGAAAAGTACCTAAAAAAAAAGGAAGGAAAAAAAAAAAAAAAGAAATCAAGCTACCATTAAAATTAAATCCCAGAGAGTGATTTGTAAATAACATTCAAGGAGCTGAGAAAAGTAGTAAAGTAGACCACTGGGAAACTAGCGTAGAAAAATAAATCCAATTAAACACCATTATCGTATGTGCTGCAAATGAAACTCGTGCTTGGATATGAAATTAAGGTTGCTGAGGCTGTTCGGGATGTAAGGTTTTGAGGAGTTCTCCTACTTTGGGTATTCTTTTTAAGCAAAATTTTCAATGGTAAATAATTTTGTCTGATGGAAAACCCAGGGCTCTTTCATTTTATGATTATTTTTATTATATATCCTTAAATTCCACAGACAGGCAATGTTCATTTTTTTCATAGCCAGCTCTGTTTACAGCAGGTTTTGAATTAGTAGCACATTAAGGTAAATGATAAAGCAAAAACTACAAATGAGCAAGGCCTAGATTTCCGTTCCAAATGCCCCTTCTAATCAGGCTGCCAAGGCCATCCTGCAGAGCTTTAGTCAATCCTTTAAAACACTCTACCCTCTGCCTTTGAAGTTTGGAGGGGTTTTTTTTCACATTTGACTGCTCCCTGTTCTCCTGAGAATGTCTTCAGGAACATCTGGGTATGACATAACTTCTGCAAGGAGGCTTCAGGAATTTGTGATGCCAAATACTGGGGTATCTTTGGTGAGCCAGAACATGTTAAGAGGATTTTACCAAGGGGGAAAAGTAGAATTTAAATACTCCAGGCCTCATTTGTTTTCTGAAAGCCCCAAGCAGCTTCCTTAATGTGGGCATTCAGAGCGGATACTGACACTTATCTCAAAGTTTGCTTTTCCTCCTCAGAGAAACCTTAGGCCTAAAGTTTTCTTGTTTGACTTTTTTTTTTTCTCCCCAATGAGTTTATGTTCTGGGATGCAGTCCTCGGCTCTTAAACAAGCCTCTTCTCAGTGACCAGAATCATGTCCTGCTTCCTCTACCTCCCTCAATTTCATTTCTCTAAAGCCTCCATAACACTTTCCTACTTTTGAGCATTGATTTTAAAAAGAAGATGCTTGGGCATGGAGAACACTATACTTATAATAGCCATGGCTATCATTAGCTAGCTGCTGTGGAAACATGCTGCTTTCAGGCAAGAGGCTCAGAAGAAGCCTGCTATACTAAATACATGGGACTTGAATTTGATGAGGCTGTTTCCTAGAACGCTGGTGAAGCCCAGCTGATTCAGCTCTCGGCTGTGTACAGTCGTCCTTAGCACATTTTCCAGCTCTCTTGATTTTGTGGCAGGCCCCTAAAATTCCCTGTAATGTCTTCTGGGATCATGTCACATCATCCCATCTTCCTGCCTGCACTGTAACATCACATTGTAATGGGATGGCAAAAGGTCAGGATGTCATGGTGGGGACCTTTCTGCATCATGAAGAGGCTTTTCAAAGGAGTCTCCTCTGGAATGTGAGAATTTGCACATTCCCCAGAAAACATGCCAAGGTCAGGGCCACTGGGATCTCTGCTGAGCCTCAAAGGCATCTGTTGCAGTTGTGGCACTAGCTCCATCTCAGTCCTCTGTCAGTCCTCAGCCTCAGCACTTAGAACACAGATGCCCCCATGGTTACTAGGTGTCTACACAGAAATGTCTTAACCAAAGTGACAGGTTTCAAAACCCGTAAGTCTGCTGCCAGGAGTTTTGGGACCAAGGTTTACCACAGATTAATCAGTGGCCTTCTCAGACTGAAATATGACTACCAGGACCTCAGCTGGGGCTTGCTTTGTGTCCCAGTGAGTGGCAACATCCAAAACCAGCTAGGCTAACTTGCAAGGGCATCATGCATTCAAGCTGATCTTTGCGACCTGGTCATCATCAACAGGATGACAAAAGACGTATAGCAGTAGTGTGTATAAAATTGGCGGAGGGGGAGGGAAAAGGAAAACAAGCAGTCCTGTCTTTCTGTCAAAAGGCAAACAGATTGGAGAATGACCCTGGATGGACTGTAGACCGTAGCTTAGTCTGCATTTAGCTGCAACCTGTACTGTCACTAATGCCTTTATCAGGAGGGTGGGAGCTGGGGGAAGGGAGGAAAGAGATGTTCATTTGGATCTGATGACCAGAGTGGAAAACACAGCTTGTTTTTTTGTTGTTGTTGTTGTTGTTGTTGTAACACTCTCTCAGCCCTCTTCCCTGCTTCCCTTCCCATGGAGGTCATAGCTGTGAGAACCGAAAAATATCTGATACAGTGATGACCTCCACTCATCGCTGCTCCCCATTCACTTCCTTGCGTGCATGCTCTTAGCAGTGCTGCTCTGCAGACAGCTCTCCTGTGAGCTGGTTCAGTTTTGGCAAAAGGTAAACATCTGAATATTTTGAAATTTAGGGGAAAAAGGTGGAAACATACATCAGACCATAAAGGGGGCTTGCTGACTATCAAGTAGCATTAGAAGAGCCCACAGGAACCTATCATCTCAGTGCAGTGTGGCCAGTTAAGAAACCCATCCATCTCTGAAATCCTCTCTCCCCCCTGAGACCAAAATTTGTTTACCCAGAGGGAGTCCAAGAAAGGGTCAGTGAAAACCCAAACCTTCACAACCTTTAAAATGATTCATTATTTGGTAGAGCTGAAGAAGCTGAAGCATAAGGAGGCCAAAATGTCCAAATTTGTCCTACTGTGACACAGAAATAACCAGCAGATGAAAGTAATGGTTGTAGGGACTAAGTATAGGAATGCATTTCTGGAGCCATTTGTATGTCAGGTATTTCTCTTAATTCTCAGACATTCAAGAGTACTTCACTGGGTGGTACTCACCGTGTTGTTGATGTGTATTTAACTAAGCAGAGAGAGCATGCCTCTGTCTTCCCTGAATGCTGGCTGATCTTTGGGCATCAGCATTTGTGGCAGAGCTCAGCTGGCATGCCCGCCACCCAGAACAGAAAGCTCAGCTCAAGGCTCACCTCGCTGCCCGCTGATGGTGTCCAGCCAGCTTTCCCAAAACGCGCCTTCTCACATGGTGAGTGCACAAGGGCATGACTCTGCAGAGTGGACACTCAGCCAGGCTGAACTTGCTGACATTTCAGGCCAAGGCAACAGGAAGGACATGAGAGAATGAAGAGGGAGGCAGACATTGGGCTATTTGCTTCTTGCTTCTTCATAGATATTGAGCAAGAGGTGACATTTTATCTTATTTTGACCATTCAGTTAAAAATGTCAAAGTCAAAGCCAGATGTAATTATAGTGTAATGCAAAAGGGTTAGTGGGGATTTGTTGGCTTTCAGCTGGAAACACCACCTTACAGAAAAGAGAAATGCCAGTAATTATTTCTATTTCTATGGCTACTAACATTGCTTGGTATTTTTTGGATAGCAACAGACAGTTTCTGTTTGCTGATACTGTTTTCTAAAAAAAAAAAATTCTGCTTCTTCCTACAAAAAAAAGGAAAGAAAAGAAACTAGCTTTCTTACAAGAAAAAGGGAAAGATAGGGAAAGGGAGGGGGGAGAGAGAGAGAGAAAGATGACTTTATTGCTTCATCTGCTTCTGTACTTTTTCTTCATTAATTTTAATTGAGAATGATTTATTCCAAAATGAGCCACAGATTGCATATATTTGCATAACCCTCTCCAGTAGCAATGCTGTGGAGAATCCAGCAAGTGAGGAAGAGTACAAGCAGAGGCTAAGAGCTGAGACTGGAAGTCCCAGAAAGGTATTCCTTAGAGCTAGGCCCTTGCACTGAGACAGCCAAGACATTTCAAGGTCTCTTTAGCCACGGGGGTGGCTTTGCTTGGTTGCAG